TGAAATTTATTACATAATTATTAATTAAAAAATGTGACCACTAATTAAAAAATTAAAATGGATAAATTTGTAAATAAAATTAAAAAATTTTAATCCATTAGCGGTTTGGTAAAAAAGCTACATAAACTAACTTTTTCAATCCGTTAGCGGTTTGGACTCTAACCGCTATCCGCTAATGTCAAACCACTAAATAAAAATTTTACCAAACACTTTATTTATAGCGGTTTCCAAATATATAAATTTATCAAACACCTATATTTAGCGGTTTAGGTAAAACCGCTAACCGCTACCCCAAAACCGGTATACCAAACAGGGCCTAAATCCACATCATTCATGTTCAGAGATAGTGAAATGAAAATGGAATACGAAATACAATGGAAAGGCATGATTTTGTATACATAGAGATGATGATGATGAAGAAGAGGGAGTTAGATCTAAAGATCTAGAAAGAAGAACCTAGCACCTGGGTTCTTCCATGCCCAACCCAGGCATGGCGTTGGGTACGCGATGAACCCAACCAAGGTGAAAAAAAATAAAGAAGCCAGAGGAAGGATAGGATAAACACAATGGAGCAGAAGATGGGGGCAATTAAGTAATTAAAGTTAATTACTTTTAATTACAAAATAACCTTTAAAATATTTATAATAGCAATTATGTAATTAAATGATTTTTAAGGTTATATTAGACAAAAAAATTTTGGCCATGTCATTAGATGGATTTTGCCACGTAATTTAAGAAAAGAAAAAAAAGTTTTTTTCATTAATTAACAAGCTACATCAGTCAAAATTTAACAAAATGACTAAAAAGGAGTCGAATTTCAAACTATAAGGATCAAAAAGGGGATTTTTTTAGTATAGGGACCAAAACGGGGTTTTTTTTAATAGTAAAGGAACAAAAAAGTGTATTTAACCTTTAAAATTCAAAAATTCACCTTATTAAATATTAATATTTATATTTAGAAACCAAAAATCTGATTTAAAATTTAGAAATCTACCTTATTAAATATTGATATATGGATTTAGAAACAAATTATATTATAATATATAATTAGTTTCCAAATGCAAGTATAAACATTTAATAAAGTATATTTTTGAATTGTGAATTGAATTCTAATTGAGTGAAACAACTCATTTAAGGTTATGATTCTAAATTTTTTTAGAAGTTGAAATTGATATGCATTTTCCGCTTATTATATTCCTATTAGTAGCATAGAAGTAAATGAAAAATTAAGTACTAAGAGAATAATGCTAATAAGTTGTGTCTTTTATGCTTTGAGGTGAAAACATTTCTAAATGAGTAGGGATCTATTTTTATAAAATTTCAACCATTCATCTCTTCACTTTAAATGGTTAAGATTTATTCACTTTTTATCATATTTATTAAAAATAATTATCTTTTTTATCTAAAAAATCATGATAAATTTTAATCATTGAAAGTAAAAAAATTAATGATCAAGATTTTATATAAATGGAAAAGTGTGCGTTAGTCCTACCTCAAAAAAAAAAATTGGAGTCCCAAATCAAAACGACGTCGTTTCTCTGAATACCGCCCTTACTGTTTTTCGCCCTTTTCTAGAATCACCTCCATCTCCATCTGCTACTCCCCCAGCCCGATTCCTTCCCCACCCGCGCCCGCTCCAATCTTCGCTATTTCCTTGCCAACTACTCCTTCGTCATGGCCGACGCTTGCGCCCTATCCCTCTTCACCGCCTCGTTCTCTCTCGCTCTCATCTCCGTAATCATTACGCTCTGGATCCTCCTCTACTTGTTCAGAAAAGACCCTTTGGTGCTATGGGGCCATAGCATAAGTGATCAGTGGGTGCTCTTCTGTTTGGTCGGCGTCTCAGTCTTGGCAGTGTGGGCCTGCGACATGGTGGAGAATTTGGTCATCGGGTTTGGCGTTGGATGCTTAGTTTGTGGGTTGCATGCGGTTTTCAGGAAACTTGATGGACTGTACTTAGAAGAGGATGATGCCGTTTGCTATGGTTTGGTACATTGTTTTGGATCTTCAAGTTAGGATATTAATTCATATTTCTTTTTGTTGGAGTGTGGCTTTGTTGATTTTATAAAAGGAAAGGAGGATCAAGTTGGTGCGTGTGCTGCTGCTAAATTTCCAGTTATGTTGTTGAAGATTGTTAAAGA